AATGGGCTGCCCAGGGAGGTGGTAGAGTCCTCATCCCTGGAGGTATTTAAAAGAAGGAGAGATGAGGTGCTTAGGGACAGGGTTTAGTGGTGGGATGGCAGGGTTAGGTTAAAGGTTGGACTCGATGATCTCAAAGGTCTTTTCCAACCAAAGTGATTCTATGAAGGCCGAGGGCCGTCGGGCGACGGAGAGCAGCTGACACCTCCTCTTCCTCGGCTGTTTGCCCCTCCAGGAATGGTAGCGAGCAGAAATGTGTGTCCGTGTCTCACCCCTGGATGCTCATCGTGTTGTCACCAGTGGGCTGGCGTGAACGCTTGTCCCCTCTGCGGTGGCAAGGACGGCATTGGTTGCTGCCGTGTGAGACCAGTCCTTCGTCAAGGCCAGCCGAGAGAACTGTTGTGCTCGCTCCGGTCTCCAGCCTGGGTCTGCGTTCTTTAAAATCTTCAAACAAGTTGGAGGGATCTGGTTACAGCGGCATCGCCAGTGTGGTCGCCTGTTGCAAATGGGAACGGTTTCCCCCTAAAGCATTTGAAAAGCATCGGGATGGTCCAACGCTTCATTTTGCGTCATCGGCCGGGCTTTGTGCTCCTCTTCCAGCTGGCTTTCGTGTAAACGGAGCCCTCGTTTCCACTGTCTCTTCTGTCAACAGTCTCAATGGCTTTGTTTGCAACCCGTGGATGTCCCTCCCGTCCCAGCCGGCCTGCGTGACAGCGGTGACCCTGCCTGAGGTTGCTTGGAAGGACCTGGGAGCCGGTGTGGTTTTGTCGTGCCCCTTGGAGGTGCCGCCCTCGGGGAAGACCACTTGGAAACGCTGTCAGCAGCGAGCACGCTTGATTGGAGAGGGGAGAATTGGGCATCGAAACACTGTTTGGTGCGTGATTTGGGTTTCTTCCTCTCCGGAATGGATGCTTGTAGAGGCTGTTAGATGTAGCGAGTGCTCTTCGGGCTTCTCACCCGCTAAACCAGAAAGCAAACCCCATTTCCACGGAGGAAAAAATGCGCGCTGGGAAGTGCTGGTGGAACGCGTTGGCAGCGCATTTTCTCGTGTGCACGTGGCTCCATCGCACATTTTAAATAATAGATGGTTTGCGTGCAAAGAGTTGGGGTTCTTCTAATTATTATTATTAATCAGTAGAGCTCAGTTTGCAGCATAACACCCGGCATCGCTGGGGAAACTGAGGCCATGAAGGGACGGACCTGGCAGCGGTAGAGTTGGGGATGTGACTCGGGTCCGCCAAGGCTCGAGTTGACATGCGTCAGAGGTCTGATTAAATCAAGAGATTTGCACATTCGTTAAGCCGCCTAGAGCTTGATGACTTTGACCAGTTGTCGAGGTGGACTTAGGCTCAACTTGACGTTGAGCGCCGCTCACCCTGACAAATCAAACGGGTTTAAACCCCGTTTGGGAGGCTTTGTCCAAGGAAAATACTGAAATAGTGGTCTGCTCTCTGCGGTGAAAGCAGCCGAACGGCTTAAAAACCCCCAGACCCCAAGTACTGGTGGCGCTGGGTGCGTGTTTGGTTTTTATCCTGACCTCAGACTGCTCGGAATCTCACGGCGGTGATCAGTTGGGCATAGAAATGAGGGGTTTTATCCGCGCTGAGGCACATTTTGGTGGAAAAGGAGACGGTCCGGGTTGAAAAACATTCAGCCCCGTGTTGTGGAGCCGCCTTCCAAGCAGGGACGGGATGGGACGCCACAGGCGTGCGGGTTAACTTTGGCAAGTGGGGTAACTATTCGCAACCAGCGTTTTCTTCACCCCGTTTTAATGACGGAGTGCTGCGAAAGCCGCGGGGGAGGGGAGGGGGAAGGAGGGGACTCGCAGCTGAACCCCCCCTCCACCAGCGGGAGTTTCTGCAGGCAAAGCAGCTCCGCTTGCTCCTGCCGATTGCAGTGAGCTGGGCTTGCTTGCGCGGGGCACAGATGTTTTGTGCCGTGGGATGGGGGAGACCCTACCGGCCCCCATTTTTTTTGGGGGGGGGGGCTCAGAGTTTGGCAGCCAGCGAAGGCACTTCTAGGTCCAGCAAAGGCCCCCGGCTGGGGGAGCCCCCCAAGCACTTCCCTGCCCTCTAGCCTGGCTGCAGCTGGGGTGCTGGGTGCCAGCGGGACCTTGCCCTTGCAGTGCAGCCTCCCTTTTATTTTTTGCACAACCATTTTCAGTGTAGCCCCCCTGTATTTTTTGCACAGCCCCCCCATTTTGCAGTGAGCCCCCCTATATTTGTTTACACAACACCCCCCATTTTTCAATGCAGCCCCCCTATATTTTTTACTCAACACCCCCAATTTTGCAGTGAGCCCCACTTTATCTTTGCACAGC